ACTCACATTATCTATAAATTAATAAAAAATAATTAATTTAATTTCTGATATACATACATCTATAAACATCTACTTATTTTGCATATAAAAATGCAGTTTGAGCTGATTCCAACTAATATTGGACTTTTAACAAATTTTTAAAGTCGCTCCAAAATCGGACAAAAGTCCCTGTGTACAGGGATTTTTGTCAAATTTCACCAAAATTGACAAGTAGAGAATTCCTCAATTTTATTACATTTTCTGATGTATATACATGTACTTATGTTGTATAGAAAGTTTGAGCTGATTCTGATCAAATTTGGATTTTTTATGATTTTTTAAAGTTGTACTATAGTACAGGGATTTTTGTCAAATTTTGCCAAAATTGACAAGTAGAGAATTCCTCAATTTTATTACATTTTCTGATGCATATACATGTACTTATGTTGTATAGAAAGTTTGAACTGATTCCGATCAAATTTGGATTTTTTATGATTTTTTAAAGTTGGTCCAAAATCGGACAAAAGTCCCTGTACTATAGTACAGGGATTTTTGTCAAATTTCCCCAAAATTGACAAGTAGAGAATTCCTCAATTTTATTATATTTTCTGATGCATATACATGTACTTATGCTGTGTAGAAAGTTTGAACTGATTCCAATCAAGTTTGGATTTTTTATGATTTTTTAAAGTTGCTTCAAAATCGGACAAAAGCCCCTGTACTATAGTACAGGGATTTTTGTCAAATTTCACCAAAATTGACAAGTAGAGAATTCCTCAATTTTATTATATTTTCTGATAAATATACATGTACTTATGCTGTGTAGAAAGTTTGAGCGGATTCCGATCAAGTTTGGATTTTTTATGATTTTTTAAAGTTGCTCAAAAATCGGACAAAAGTCCCTGTATTATAGTACAGTGATTTTTGTAAAGTTTCAAAAAATTGACAAGTAGAAAATTCCTCAATTTTATTACATTTCCTGATGCATATACATGTACTTATGCAGTGTAGAGAGATTGAGCAGATTCCGATCAAGTTTGGATTTTCTATGATTTTTTAAAGTTGCTCAAAAATCGGACAAAAGTCCCTGTACTATAGTACAGGGATTTTTGTCAAATTTCACAAAAATTGACAAGTAGAGAATTCCTCAATTTTATTACATTTCCTGATGCATATACATGTACTTATGCTGTGTAGAGAGATTAAGCTGATTCCGATCAAGTTTGGATTTTTATGATTTTTAAAAGTTGCTCCGAAATTGGACAAAAGTCCCTGTACTATAGTCTACAGTACAGGGACTTTGGACAAAAATCAAAGGGAGAGAATTTTCCATTTTAAAGATACATGTAAATTATTATTAATATTATTATTATTATTATTATCATTATCATTACTTGCTATTGCTCTCAGTTGTTGAGATACGACTGATTCAGTTTGTCCTGACTCTCTCTCCTCCAGTTTCTCTCCGATACAAGCAATGACACTGAGACCAGAGGACAAAGCATAACCAACCTTAGCTGATATCAACTAACAATGATAATAATAATAATAAGAATAATAATTAATTAATAATAATAACTTCATCAGTTTCTCCAAAGACGTTCCTCCTTTCAGAGTGTCCCAGTATCACCCAATGAATACCAACATCAGACAACATCTGAGGACTGTTGATTAATTAATAATAATAATATTAATATATCTCATTAAACTATTTAACTTTAGACTAGCAAAAATGTATTTCAAGTGTCTCACTATTATTATTATCATTAATTATTATCATTATTAATTAATTAATTATTATTCATGACCTTATTTCTCCAGTAAAAGCTCCTTTCTCACATTTATAACAATTCTGTCCAGCCACGCCCACACCAGCAGGAACACGGTCTTTAACAAACTGCAAGTATACACTGGGAGGAGCCACAACCACCTCTGGGAACAAGAAGAACAATTACATGTACCGTACCATGTAATGGAAACACTGCTCCCACAACCCATGTGTAGATGTACATGTAAAATAACTTCATTATTGTAATCTAATTATTAT